GTTTTAGAAAAATATATAACATATATTAAAAACAAAATAGAAATTCCAATAATGACAATTATGTACTTGCACCCTACAGCTGTGTTGCTTGGACTTCATTTTGTACAACGTACTACTTATGATGTTATTTTGTTATCCAGATACAAAGGAAAGTTTCATATATTTTTAAGTATCTTTCCCTCAAGTTAAAATAATTACTTAGTGGATAGCAACACATTTCAATGTTTCCCTGCATGTTCAAATATAGAAAACCTTTTAGTGGTCCCCATTAATTACTGAGTACAATCCGGGAATAAATTATTAGTTATATGCAGATTTTTTACATACTTTTAAAATATCTGTTCAAATAGAATGCCAATATAGTAAGTACACACTGAACACAAGTTCACTAAAAATATTTCAAAACCCTCCCTGAACACTCTTTGTGAGATATACCCCAGAGTGATACACAGAAAAACTGCTCTCTGAGAAACCATATTCATTGTATTCATTTGGTACAATCGTTTACTTTTAAGAACTGAATAGCGTTGCTCAGATTTTATTTGAAAAGCTCTGTGGTGTTTCTGTTTAAATTCTGTCTTACTAGAAAAAAAAAAAAAAAAAGGTTTACCTAAGATAGGAACAGCAACTCTTTAGTTGACTTGAATGTTTGATCTTTCAAACATTAAGATAATTAAATCCCGTAAAAGTAATAAAGAACAACCTATCTTTAATGATGCAGCAATGTTTAAGCCACCCTCAAATTGAGTTGTAAAAATAGGCTGTTTCTTTACTATAAGCAAAGTAGGAAATAGTCAAATATTCAGATAGCTGCTTAGGTAAACTGAGAAATACATTTAATAGTCAACAGTAATCAGTATAAAATTTTGATGTTAGGGTTTTCAGTTTTTTTGCTTTCCTTTAGCTTTAAAGTATTTCAAAGTTTAGGGCAACTTTCACTACTTTAAATGAAGAATGAGATGAAAATGCACTGTGGACAAAGTATGACAGTAGTTCATGCTTAATAAAAATGTAACAAATAAAAATATTATAAAAATATTACAAAAAGGAGTAGTTCTGGGAATAGAAGTGTTTTTTTCAATATAAAAACACTAACAATTTCTGTCCCATCCAGAAAGTCTCACTTAGAGTACCTCACAGAGCTTAAACACATGCCTCTTCAAAAAATATTCTACGCATTAAATTATTAGCTCTAAAATAATGATTGTGCCTTAATCTAATCAAAAGGTCCTGATGTTATCCATTTTAACTCATGTAATATTTTTTATCACCTACCCACCATTGACTTTTAGAATAGTAACACTTTCGTTATATAAGTGTTAAATTAAAAAATATTTCTGTAAATCGAAGCCATTCTAAATGGATATTTCAACTGTACCTATACATTTTTGTAAAACAAACTAATATGCAAATATTATTAAAAAACTAACAAATATTTTCATCACTGATAGCCTATTTTTCTTCCATAAAATAAAGATGTGTTTTACTGTAATTACTATCAATATTGTGAGAACTTTTTTAAAATTAAAATTTTATATTACAAGTTATTTCAAGGTACGTACTTTGAAACATTATAAATTAAAGAAGGGCTTTGAACAGATGCAGAGACTCCTCATCTGAATTTTTAATACCTAGGAGAAAAAATTAGGGTTTCACAAAAAGTTAATCATTGATATCTGAAAAAGTGATATACATCATGGATCTCCCTGGACGTTAGCTGTACCTATCGTCCACTTAAGATCATAAATCTAGGGGGACAAACCAGCCTACGTACAGAAGCCTCAGAAAAGAGAAGCTTTAAGAAACAGAAGTGTTTCTGTAAAAATAATTTGTGTAGATGTACACTCAAAACATACCTAATGTATTCCAGCATTTTCACCATTTTGATTCCCTGCATTCATGTTGATCCACAAGGATAATTCAAGGATGATTTAGTGGTTCACAAGGATAAAGATCTCACAAAGGCAGCCCTGGAATTTGAAATGGCTACTGCTTGGTAATTTAGTGAAAGGTGTATTTTTTTTAATTTCCACAGTCATTAGGAAATGATCCAGTTTGACCTTTGGCTTGCAAAAACTGTACTCCCCTGAACTAGGCAATACTGGTAGTACAGTATAGCAGAAGTACAAAAAAATGACATAGGAATAGCATTGCATGAAGGAAATAGGGCATTTAGCAGGGCAAAAAACCCCCAGATTTTGTATTTCAAATATACTGTAATTATATCTAGAAGTATTTTGTGCTTAAAAATGTCACATGATGCAACAGTGAATCAGGTGCCAAAATCAACAAATCATAAATTACTATGAGATTAACTGCAACCTCTAAATGGTTCAACAAAGAATCAAACTGGTTTTTTCTGTACACCATCACATGATTTACCAATACACTGGCATCTTTGCTCTTTTGCTGTGAGCCGACAGTAATTATTTCAGAGAAAGAAAAAGAAAGTGTGGAATTAGTAATGCAGATGCTGAAAAGGCAAGTGGCAAGACTGTACAAGAAGAATGCCTCAAAAAATGCTATTTTGTTCCCATTTCTACTGGCACCTACTCCCCAAGGTAAAAGGCCAGAATGACCAAAGCCATCTTAATAGTAGTGTGCAGAATGTCAGCCGACAAACAACATAAAAACAAGTCACGTTATGTTATCTGTGGTCACGTTCTTCAGGGTTAGTCCAGTAACTCAAGACTACATTCTTCTGTCTTTATTTGTTTGTTTTAATTAAACATGTAATGGTTAATAAACAGACATAGTCCAGAGTTAGTAGGTTGGTATTATAACATTTATTAAAATAATGCTATGGGTTAATAGAAACAGCAAAGAACCAAAGAATTAAAATGCAAGCTATGTAAAAACCCAACTAAAACCCAAATATGTCTAATGTATTCATCCAGTAGCTAACTAAAAGCCCAAGAAAGACAACACTCCCAATATAATAAAGTACTGCAAAACAATTGGCAATTTTTCAGTTATCAAAATTGTGGGTTTTGCATTTTTGTATCCTTTTTTCTCAATCAGGAAAAAAATTCTTTTGAATGTTATATAACATACATATAAAACAAGATAGAAAAATACATTATAAACTTGTAACAATGGCTGTAAATACATTATCTTACATGTTTCTCATAGGCAATAGGTTGGTTATGGTACATACATAGCATGAAACTACTAAGATAATAAAGAATAGACAAATACATGTCATCTGTACGGTTACATACAAGCGACACTCCCATCTACCCACTCTAAAAAAATTACATAATACTGTCAGAAAGAAGTCTTAAAACTACTTATTTTAATAAAGAAAAAGTCATTAAAGAATGATAATACTGAGAACCAAGGCATTCAGAGATTTCAAAAGTCATGCTTTTTTTTTCAGTTGATCCAAAATTTTGTCAACTAAGTTTTCAGAAGTTTGTTCAGAGCAAACATTACTTTCACATGTCACACATCTATTTCATACACTTCCCCCCCCCCCCAAAAAAAACCTTTTTAAAACACTTAAAA